CTCCTTTCGACAATAGAGGTTTTCAAAAAGTGACAGGTGTCATAAACACACCGAGTTTTCTAGAGACTTATCAACATTTACCTGAATTCAACTCCTATCTCAACGGTAAACAACGCATCATGTTTACTATTTAACTGAAACTTGAAAACTGTGGAAGCCCTGTCTAGTTACATAAAGGTCAAACTGCTAGTTGCGCTGACCTCCTTAATTAATGAAAATGCATTAAGCGTACGAACAACAATGACACTATGATAATAATGTAATTCGAGCGAACCCAGAATAATACGTACAGGAGATAAAGCCTGTAAATCGAGCGCCGTTGATAACGTTTTTAGCATCATCAAGTTAGAATACAGTAAGAAAATGAGCACGGTGTCATTTACAATAAACTACAAAGATTGTATACAACAGCGTGGCTAAATAAACAATATGCCTCTAAGAGGCCCGTGTCATCGTCGTTGAACCTCATATCTCTCATTCTTTTGTATCCACTGCTTCTGGTGCTGACAGGAATCACCTCTTTTAGGTGATTTTTAAGACCGACGTGATGCCGGTTACGAAAGTTAATGAACAGCTTTAAAAAAGTCAACGAGGAATACTCTAAATCAGTTTCTGACAATATACTGCCTTAGTCCTAAACTGAAATCAAATTATTCATCAGCGCAAGGAATCGGATTTTGTAGTAGCTCGCTCGGAGCGTCCACAAGTAGTCCTGGAGTAAAAAGTCGTAACGGTAATTCACGGTTTAGGAGAATGAATTCCAATTCGTTAGGTGACTATCTCTCTTTCGTTGTTGTTACCTAAAAGCAATCCCCTACTAAGAAATAAATAGCTAAGCAGCGCAAACAAGACCAGGGACGCATATCTTGAGAAAGCTTAACAAATGAGGCAGGCATAAAACCCAAAAAGGCTTCAAAAAGAAAATCAACCAAGTATAAATTGGCAATTCCTACAAATAAAAACGACAATTTTTTTCCAAGGTTAGCAGGTGTTGTCAGAGCTTGACCTCATTGGAACTATGCAAGTTCTGATGCTGCTCGGTTTTCTGTCCCCATAAAAGACTGCCTTATTCTCCTGGATCTTCGCACAAAGTTCAGAAAGAATAAGATTTGGAAATTAAAAAGGGGCACGACGCATCAAGTCGACACTCAAGTTGTCGACAGTCATCAATTAACATCAGAAGGAACCTTAATTTTGACTCGAAACTCTTTGAGATAAGTAATTCTTCAACAGCTTACTTTTGAAGATTGATTCAAGTCAAAAGATAGTACGTCCCCCACGCCGATGATAATAGGTGATAGTGAACCGAAGACGTCTTCAGATGACAAAATGGTTAACACTTGTTTGAAAAGAGCTAGTAACTCCAAATCCAATTAACTTTCCAAATGAGCCCATTCGATCAAAAAACTAATTAATTCGTCCTCCTAACTTGAGGGTATATCAATGTGAGAAAAATGCCTGCCGATTGTTGCTTATACAACTGTTTATCAGAAAGAATTAACAGCGGTTCTGTAATATTAGAATAGTCTGATCACTTTTAAACTGTTGAAAAAACCATATCGCAGCAATTTTAATCAAACAGAAACCCATTCTCAAACATTTTCTACGCAGCAATAAGTATGAGAAGTAATAATAAACAAAGAAAAATGGTGCTGTCCTGTTAGATGAGTATTTAATTACCCTAAACTAACTATATAACTGTTTATTATTAAATGAGAGCAAAAACTGAGAAACAACAGCTAGAAATAACAGCAGCACCGAGTAAAAAAATTGCTGTAGCACATTTCAAAGTAAAAGTTGCACACACCGAAGCGCCAAACAGTGAAAGAAATCTCTTCTTAAATAGCATGCCTTTTAACCATCTTTTAATCCTGAAAAATCTCAACATAGCTTTGAAAAAAAGTGCAATAGTCTAGCAATCATTTCTGAACTTCAAAGAATATTCCATAATGAGAATATATGCTTGAAAAGTTGAAAAACTAATGTATTAAAGGTTGCTTACTGTATCTTTGAAGTTCAGAGCAACAATAAACACCCTACACCATGAATTTCCATTAAAAGCGATTAAAAACTGCAACATAGCACACTTTATGAACTACCAACAACGCAATAAGACTTTTACTCAAATCTACCCACATAGAAATTACTGATTACTTGAGCAAGAAAAAAGACTGAATTTCCATCTCCATTATGAAAGAAAACATTAGTTGGTCAATTTAGGGCTCGACAGCTCAAAATGTTTCTGAGCGCTCAAAACCCTCTAACAAGGAAACTTTCACGTAAGCCCTTAATGTTTTCCTCCAAAAGCTTTTTATTCCTGTCCCTCAACAGAGTTTTTCTATTGTACTTAAGCGAGCAGAACCTTCAAAAGCAATTTTAGCCAAAAAGCCGACGCAAATTACTTTTAAAATGAAAAAATCATTTATAAGACTTTCAAAATAAACTGTAAAACCTAGCTACAAACTAATTGCCATAATTCATTTAGACACTATTTTTTTGTCACTGTCTATAATTGCGGTTCACCTAAGATTAACCTCAAAATCTGGAAAACAGTTTTTCTAAATGTACATATTTCTAAGATTTCTTGCGAACCCTAAAGTGCAGAGATTAATAAAAAAAAACAGGGAACATACTAACCTAGAGTGAAAGTTAAAACTAAACAAACCACCGAACCAAGCAAAACTCAATACTGTAAATTGGTCACCAAACTAGACAGTCTTATCACCATACACAATACCATAAGAATGAAAAATCTGAATATTCTGTTTATATGAGTAAGCACACTGATCTGAAACCGGTGCACATGCACAAAAGCGCATTTGAAACATGGTTACTGATCACATAAATTACATTACAGCAAAAAAAAAAAGCAAAAGAAAGGAAAAATTTAGCATCCTACGCTACAATTTTCGAGCAAGTTACTGAACTTCTGATCGAGATGTTAACTGCTCGGTTCAGTCAAGAAGTGATATTTGAGCAAAACCGACAAGAGTGCGTTCATCTGGAACCTCGTTAGGAGGTACTCCAGAATTTAACGCAAAGGTCACCGACTTACGGCCACTTTTTTGCTGCGCTAAATCGATCAATTTCTGGAGATTTGCAGCAACAACCACAAGGTCATGGCCATCAATAAGTTCTGCAGTTACTAACTCGTGTGCTATTCCTTCAACCGTATCGACGCTGGCTGTATAATCAAATTTTATATCGTTTAACTCTCGAGCACTGTTGCGAACACGTAAGACCTAAAAAATGTGACATCAGTAGAAAAAACA